TGCATGCAGAGGCACAAGGACTTGGGCCATATTCACCGCTATCTCAGGCACATGAGCACAGCACTAGATCAGAAGTGGAGCACCCAGGCCCGGCACAGTAGCCTAGTGACTAAAACTGCTCCTTGCATCCACTGGGATCCCATATGGGAACCACGTCATGTCCCGACTGCTCCATTTCCAATCCAGCTCCCTGCCTGTGGCCTGGGAAAGCAGTAGAAGGTGGCTCAAAGCCTTGGAGCCCTGCAACCACGTGGGAGACCCGGAAGAGGCCCCCCTGGCTTCGGATCTCAGCTCCAGCCATTGCGGCAACTATGGGAGTGAACCAGCAGATGGAAAATCTGTCTCTCCTTCTCTCTGTAAATCTGACCTTCCAATAAAAATAAATGAATCTTTTAAAAAAAATTGAAGAGGAGAAGAAGAGAATTCAAGGCAAAAAGTATGCATCAGACCAAGAGCTAGCTCTTACTGAGCCAGGTGCTCTTTGTGATTTGTTTATTTTTATTTTTAATTTAACATGAAAGAATTACAGAGAGAGGGAGAGAAAGAGATCTTCCATCCACTAGTGCACTCACCAAAATGGCCACAATGGCCAGAACTAGACCAATCTGAAGCCAGGAGCCAGGTTTCCCATGTAAGTGCAGGGACCTAAGGCCTTGGGCCAGCTTCTGCTGCTTTTCCAGGTGCATCAGCAGAGAGCTAGATTGGAAGTGGAACAGCCAAGACTAGAACCAGCAGTACCCATATGGGATGCAGGTGCTGCAGATGGAAGATTAGCCTGACTTCATAGGCGATCATACTGGCCCACAGGTGCTGATTTAAGAGCCTGATCGTCCAGCAACTCCCTGAGCAAACCAACTGGTTAAATCTGCAGAACTAACTGGGTGAACCCGGTATTATCTCTAAAACATTATTTCTGCTTTAAAGATCCTGGGATGGGAAGGAGACATTGTAAAATGCTTTAAATTATGGACACGAATCCAGTGAAGCAAACCTCCATGTAAATTTTACCACTGAGCTCCCACCCCAAGCAGGAATTCCTCCACTCAGCTGGCAGATAGGCCTTGGAGCCTTCCAGTGTCAGACACCATGCTCCCCTCCAGTTTGGTTAAGGCAAGCCCTGGGCCACTGTGTTCTGAAAGTCTCCATAGAGAGTAGCTTATTTTTGTTTGTTTGTTTGGGTAAAAGTTTACATTTTACTTTTTAAAGATAGGTATTATTGGGACAGAACTATCCCCATGTCCTACCTCCTTCAGTTATTTATTGAAGTGGTAGACATTCATTTTGGTGGCTTTCAGTAAACCTGTGGCATTATAAGACGTTAACATTGTGACTTGCTAACAGGTGCCTAAGGGCTGCTGTGTGTAGGACTCCGGGACCTCGGCTCTGTCCCTGGACGTGAGGGCCAAGCAGACGCTCTGTGCTTTCTCGAGGTGCAGGCTTTGTGCTCGGGTTGCCGCACGCGGGGTCTGGTGTGCCTGTGAAGACAGCAGCTACTCAGAGCTCAGCTAGTTCTCATCTTTGGCCTAAAAATAAGACTGCACTTCCAGTTCCCAGGCTTTGAGAAACCCCTGTGATGATTTACCAGAGATACAAACCACTTCCCTTGTCAGACATCGCACAGTGAGGCTGGAGCTGCCTATTGGTCCGCCGAAGATAGTCAGCTTTGGGGACGGGGTGGGGGCAGGTGCGGTTGACAGTGCAGAGTCACACTGGATGGTGGGATTGATGCGGGGAAGGAGGGCAGCAATCAGCTTACATGGAGCGTGGACCTCGTCCAGCAGCAGGGCAAAGAATGTGTGAAAAACAGTGCTTAGATTTTAGGTTTTGTTCCTAAAGATCGAAACATAATTTTTTTCCTAAATAATTTTAAATTATTTACTTGATAATCTTGGTAAGTCATCTCAAAGCCCATGTATATGTAATTCTTGTTTTAAAAGCAAAATAAAAATAATTCTATACTATTGTGTACTTTTTAAACAAGTGGTAAGCAAAATCTTTCTTGCTGTAGCTAAGCCCCTTTACACAGTGGAAGTGTATCATGTCTGTCAAAATAAAACAATTATCTCCTTGTGTTTGTAGCTATTATCCCCTAGTAAAGACATACTGTTTTAGAAAATAATTACAGCATGTTCAATTTAAAATCATAAAAGAATTGCGATAGGTTCTGAGAACTCAGCATTCGACTGTGATAAAAATTAAGGTAACACTTAAGACAGCATAAACAGTGTGACATTTATAGAGTGTAACCCTATATGTGTGGCAGAAAGGAAAGGGCTGATGGCAGAGATCTTCCATCTGCTGGTCCATGATAGGCAGTGCTGGGCCTGGCCGAAGCCAGGAGGCAAGGACTTAACCTGCGTCTCCACATGTGGATGGCAGGAGGCTGGAGTTGGAAGTGGAGCTTGGACTGTCACCCCAGGCATCCAGCTGTGGGATGCAGGCATCTCAGCCAGTAGGAACGACTGATCTGTCGATTCACTGAACAGATATTTGCACAGGCAAACCACGGCCACAGGCATCTAGGACACAGTAGTAAATAATACGCTGCCATCTTCCACTGCAGTGAATTTAATACAGAGCTAGACAAAATGAATAAAAACTGAATGGAGGGCCCGGCACCGTGGCCTGGTGGCTAAAGTCCTCGCCTTGAACATGCTGGGATCCCATAAGGGCACTGGTTCTAATCCCAGTGGCCCCACTTCCCATCCAGCTCCCTGCTTGTGGCCTGGGAAAGCAGTCAAGGACTGCCAAAGCCTTGGGACCCTGCACCTGTATGGGAGACACGGAAGAGCTCCTGACTCCCTGCTTCGGATCAGCACAGTACCGGCCATTGCGGTCACTTGGGGAGTGAATCGTCAAACAGAACATCTTTATCTCTGTCTCTCTTTCTCTCTGAATATCTGACTTTCCAATAAAAATAAATAAATCTTTTTTTAAAAAACTGAATGGAAAAGTTACACAAACTGTGGTATAGATTGTTAAAGAGCCAAAACCCCATTCTTAGCACAGACTTTTCCAAATTATAAAATTGTCATTGATTGGCTAAACAAATTATTTCATTATCACACCTTGGTATATTACACTGATTCTTATTTTATCTTACTCTGTGATAATATTGAAAAAGCCTGATAAGTCAACTAAAATGTTTGTACTTATTGATTCATATACCAAGAAAAAAAAAAGGTTGCAATGCTTTCCAGCAGTTAGATGCCTTCATCTAGTGGGGAAATGAGGGGAACTGGAGAGGGAGGAGATGAAATCCCTGAGCCCATGGAACTGTATCATAAAATAAATAAATTTTTTAAAAAATGTCTTCATTTCATACTGAAGTGCCTGGATTTGATGCCCCACTCTAGGTTCTGATTCGAGCTTCTGCAGGTGCAAACCTTGCATGGCACTGTTCATGGCTCAGGAAAGTGGGTGTCTGTCAGTCATGCCCAAAAAGCTCATTTCTGGTCCCCAGTTTCAGGCTCAGTCCAACCCTGGCCATGTGGGCATCAGCGGATAGGAGTGTTCCCTGTCATTCAGCCTCTCAAATAAGTAAATCTTTTTTTTAGAAAGAGTAAAGTGAAAAAAGAAAGAGAGAGAGAGAAAGAAGGAAGGGAGGGAGGGAAGGAAGGAAGGAGGGAGGGAAAAAAGGGAAGGAAGGAAGAAAAAAAAAGAAAGAAAAAGAGGAGCCACCAGGACTTGAAGTGGCACTGCCATATGGAATGCAGGCATAGTAAGGGGCAATTTAACCCACCACAACTCGTCATCGGCTGCTGTCACTTTTTAAAGTGCCAGGTGCCGAGCGAGTGAGACCTGAAACAAAGAGAGCTTGGAGCTCAACAGTCCTTGTGTGGTGCCTCATGAGTTCATGTTAGAGAAAAGGCAGCCAGCAAGTGCACAATACATGCCAGGAAGTGATAACAGCAAGAAAGAAGAGAGTGGCCAGAATACCGTGTATTTGGGGGAATGGGGATGGAGTCTCTGGGAGAAATTTTCCCATAGCTTTCCTTCTTCCATCTCTTGGGACAGTTCAGGTAATGAATACAGATGCGAAAGAACTTTTGTATCTGTGGGTGCCATTCACCTGTTTGTTAAGAGAGCTCTAACAAGGTCCTGCTTCTTATTCTTTGGACTCTCCTCCTCATTTCTGTCTTAGTCTTCTTCAGATGTAAAGGCCTATGCACCTTCATCCATTTATCCCTGTATCCTTCCTCCAAAATTATAATTGGGCATCTGTTTTGATTTTGAGATTAAAAAAAATGTACAATCAGATGTCTTCCAGCTGCTTGATTATAAAATGGGATTGCCTCTAGAGAGAAAACTTTGGTTTGAGTCTTTTCAAAGCTATTGAAATTTGATGTGTTGGTTGATCTTGAGTGATCCTGGCCCTTATGCCCAAAAGCCCTAAATAAAACTGTGCACTGCTCAAGTGTTCTATAGCATTGCACAAGTCTAAACTCGGTAACTGGCAGCCACCCCACATTCACTGCTGGCTGACTTGTCCCATAAATAGCTCAGTGTTACAGGATCAGACAACTACAACAGAGCAGAGAAAGAATTTCTGTTTCCTAACAGCCACATGCCAGTCTCTGGTCACCAACACAATTCAGGTCCAATTCCCTGCATCCTAACTGCAGCATGCCTCTTAGAAGAATAGTGCAGATCACAATATCCCCATTTACCTCAGAATCATGAAGGAAATGATATGGAAATAATAGTCTTACCCACTTTCCTATAGCCCTTGAACCTTTTTACCCAAATTAACTATGTAAAGATTGTCAAAATAAAATAAAAAATGGAAAAAAAAAAAGAGAGAACTATATGAAAAAAAAAAACGAAGAATAGTGCAAATCAGCCACATTATGGAAAGCAACATAAGAGCAAGATTCAGTTTTAGTTCTCTCAGTTCCGTACAATAACATTGCTGCTACAGTCTGGTTAACCCAGAGCCTCTGCTGACTGAATTACAAACCGTCAGAGAGTCTGAGGCCTCCTGGTAGCTGTTTGAAACCAAGTGCCTATTTCAGAAATCTACCCACCACTGGAATAGAACAGCCCTTGTTTCTAATAGTTGGTCTATATTATTTGTTTGCCTGAAAGATAACAGAATATCACATCATGGGTTACTTCATTGTGAGCAAAGTGCTGCTGGTTGGGTGCCTGGTGGGAATCGCTGTGGTTCTTCCATGCTTTAGGGGGTCTCTGTTTTTCCTTCAGGGAGCTCCTTTCCTAAATGGCACTGTGTTGTTTTCTACCTTTCTTAAAGCCACTATGCCAAATAAACAATATGTGATTTTTTTTTACAAGCCGCTCTGATAGTTTTGTAACTATTATTGAAAGACGACTCACCCTTGCCAGTAGTTTTGAACACAAATGAAGACCATGACTGTGATATCAAATCGCCAGCGGTTCCTTCCCTGATTCAGTTTTGTTCTTTGGCTTATAGGACCTCCATCTGTTCTAGGATCAAAACCTCTAGGCCCTATTGTGCACCATTCCACAGCCACCCTAATTGCCTGTGTTTTGAAAACATTTTAAAGCTAAAATTCAGTTCAGCAGTACTGACCTTGAGTCTACTAAAGGGCTATAAGTATTTGCCTTTGTAATCTATGTGATCCTTGACTCTAATAGGCTTACAATTAACAGCATTTCAGAATCTTCCAACCACTGCCTCTTCCCAGCAGGTTGTAAGCCATGGCGGTGTGGATACAAGCCCAGCAGCTGCAAGGAGATGCCCTTCACCAGATGCAAGCGCTGTACGGCCAGCACTTCCCCATTGAGGTGCGCCATTACCTGTCCCAGTGGATCGAAAGCCAGGCCTGGTAAGTGCACAGTGTTGCTGAAGAAAGGCATCGTGATGGAACGTGTACAAGATGTGCTGTAAAAAATGCTTGTAATGTGATTCATGAAAATATATTTAACCCCATCTTAGCTTAGATTTAGATATCGGGATTAGCTCTTGGGGTTTGTAAAATAAGATTTGCTCCTTTCAATGGCATAGGCCAGCTAAAAGTATTAGGCTGCTGCTACTGAGAGCGAGCACCCAGCACTAAGTGGTGAGTGCCTCTTAGGGGCTGAGCTAGTCCCTAGGTGGCAGAGGTTTTTATGAAAAGAAAGAAAGAAAGAAAGAAAAAGCCCTTATCCCTACAAAATTTAACATTTAAGAGGGCAGATAAATCTGGGTATAATTTAATTTAAATTTATATTCAACATAAAATATTTTACATTTATGTTAATAATTCACATCTAATAAACATAAGGCAGTAGTCTGACAATGAAGACGTTAGTGTTTTTAAATTAGTATGTATTTTATGTAGATACAAAATGACTATAAGAAAATACATCAAGAATGTTAGCAATTACATTTCAGTGGTAGATGTGACAAGAATTTTAGTTTTTATTTTCCAAATGACTAGTGTGTGTTGGGGGGGGCAGTAAAAATCTTGTAGAGGAGCCAGTGTGATGGCATAAAAAGCTAATCCTCTGCCCTGTGGTGCCAGGATCCTGTGGGGGCAGCAGTTCTTATCCAGTTTCTCTATTTCCAATGCCAAATCCTTGGGACCCTGTACCCTTGTGGGAGACTGAAACATGTTCCAGCTCCTGGCTTCAGATCAGTTGGGCTCTGGCTGTTGTGGCCATTGAAGGAATGAACCAGCAGATGAAAGACCTTTTCTCTGTCTTTCCTTCTTTCTGTAAAATCTACCTTTCAAATAGAATTAGTACAATGCAGTTAGTGGAAACTCAGGTTTTTAGAATTTTAAAAAATTTGTTTTAAGGCCCGTGGCGGTGGCCTAGCAGCTAAAGTCCTCGCCTCACACGCACCAGGATCCCATATGGACGCCAGTTCTAATTCTAGCAGCCCCACTTCCCATTCAGCTCCCTGCTTGTGGCCTGGGAAAGCAGTTGAGGATGACCCAGGGCCTTGGGGCTCTGCACCCACATGGGAGACTCAGATGAAGCTCCTGGATCCTGGCTTTGGATCAGCTCAGTTCCAGTCATTGCAGTCAATTGGGGAGTGAATCACCAGATAGAAGATCTTCCTCTCTGTCTCTCCTCCTCTCTGTAATCTGACTTTGCAATAAAAATAAATAAATTTTATTAAAAATTTCGCTTTCGATAAAGACAGAGAACACATTGTCCATCTGTTGGTTCACTCCCTGAGTGATGGAGTTGAGCCAGGCTAAAGCCAAGATCCAGGAACTCAGTCCAGCTCGCCTGCATAGGTGGCAGGAAGCCAGCTACTTGAACCATGACCTGCGGACCCCCAGGGTGTTCATTACCTGGAAGCTGGGATCGGAAGCAAATAGGCCTTGAACCCAGGCCCTCCAGTGTGGGCTGCAGGTGAAACAGAACTGTCATTCCCGGGCCCAGCACGGTGGCGCAAGTGGTTAAGGTCCTCGCCTTGCACGCCCAGGATCCCATATGGGCGCCGGTTCTATCCGGGAAGCCTCGCTTCCCTTCCAGCTCCCTGCCTGTGGCCCGGGAAAGCAGTTGAGGACGGCCCAAAGCTTTGGGACCCTGCACCCGCGTGGGAGACCCGGAAGAGGCTCCTGGCTTCGGATTGGCATAGCATCGGCCGTTGCGCTCACTTGGGGAGTGAATCATCGGACGGAAGATCTTCCTCTCTGTCTCTCCTCTCTGTATATCCGCCTTTCCAATAAACAAAATAATAAAAATAAATCTTTAAAAAAAAAAAAAAAGAACTGTCATTCCCTGTACATCATGTCTGCCCCGACGTAGCTCTTTGATGGTAAACAATGTTTCATACCCAGAAACAGGTTGTACTCTGTTTTGATCGGAGCCTAGGAGCTTGTTGGTTGGTTATAATCTGAAATACACCTTAGATTCTTCAGGCTTTCACCATTGAGGCCCAGAGTCTGACAGTCCCTGGAGAAGCCGTCACTGATGCCGCTGTTTCACTGTAACCTGTTGGAGATGTTGCTTGGAACAATTGCAATTTCAGTTGCATGCTGGTAGTAGATTTTTATTCAGAAGGTAGAGAGCATCGAAGGGAAGCAATTTTCTAGGCAATTAAAAATCTCTCAGCTTCATGTAATCAAGTGAGAAAAACACGAGCTAAATATGAGAATGTCAAGTGCACCTTGTTTAATGCTTTTCCGTTCCCTTTCAATTTTCTTTTCTGTTTAAATGATTTAAAGGATTTAGTACCCAAAAAAACCCACTCAGTAAGAAGTTTCTGTTGATTTAAAATTTAATAAGATTTTCCTGAAGTCTTTTTCTGTTGTTTTTAAAAGATTTATTTTGTTTTAAATTATTTATTTATTTGTATTGGAAAGCCAGATATACAGAAAGGAGGCGAGACAAAGAGGACGATCTTTTGTCCTCTGGTTCACTCCTGCAAGGGCCGGAGCTGAGCTGATCCGAAGCCAGGAGCCAGGAGCTTCCTCCAGGTCTCTCATGTGGGTACAGGGTCCCAAGGTCTTGGGTTGTCCTGTACTGCCCTCCCAGGCCACAAGCAGGGAGCTGAATGGGAAGTGGAGCCTCCAGGACATAAACCAAGTGCCTATATGGGATTGTGACTGCTTGCGAGGCAAGGATACAGCCACTGAGCCATGGCGTCAGGCCGAAATCATCAGTTTGGAAACTGTCTTTTCAACTACTTTTTTTTTTTCACCCAATAATTAAGTTTTTAAGTAAGCAACTAGTACTTCTTTGAGTTTTTCCAGTGGACTGGATCTCTCAAGAGAAAGTTCCCCAGCAGTGAGCATCGCTGATTGAAACAGCCCTACAAGGCTGCCCCCTCTCTCCTTCCAGGCTCTTCTTTAGTATGTAGAGCATGTGTATTTACAGTGTGGCTCAATTTTATCGCTGTCTCCAGACGTAGGTCTGAGTATACTCCTCGAAGAGTCTGATGCTCACGTCCTGGGACGTCTCTCTGTGCTAACTGACCTCAGGAGGCCAGAATTACAGCACCTTTGAGCCCCCACTGTATCTCTTTACCCCAGGCTCGATTGGCACCGGTTGAATGTTATTTCAGTCTAACAGCTGTAGGGTTTCTTCAGATTGCCTACTGTCCCATAGCAGTTGGTGCCTAAATTACAGAAAGAAAGAGAGGGAAGGCCACTCACCTGTCGGCAGTTAAGCACCTCTGAACTAATACAGCAATTGGATTCTTTTGTTCACGGGTAAAGTCAGCAAGGCCTGGTAGGTCGCAGTCTCCCATTGGTGAGGCACCTTCTGACACGGTCTCATTGCCAGGCTCCTTCGACATAGCAGTAACTCTTGGTTGACCTGTCTCTACTCCAGAAACACTCTATGTTACATTGAGCGACACAGGCATTGAGCTCACTGAGTCTGGAAAGGACGTGTAGCACGGCGTGAACCTTGTGCCCTCCTTTATGCCCTTGTGGGATAACTATAAATAGGAGATTATCAGAGCTCCTGTTTCCTCCAACATGCACAAAGCACTTTGCCTTTCCCTTCATTTCTCGGAGCAGATAACGTGAGCTGCAAAGCCAGCAGCAGCAAGAAGGAGAAAGGGCAGCATGTTGTTAGCCCAGCGTGCAGTCAAGTTCAGAAAGGCTGCGTCTGGTCACTGGGGGACTTGTTTCTGAAAATCTGCAGGAGCAAAAAGAAGAAATCACTTCAGTCAAAGAATGCTTGTGTGATATGTTGAGGCTGCATTTGTACAGGCTCATGTGCATGTATGTATACAGATCATGTAATTTTTTTCCCCTAGGGACTCAATAGATCTTGATAATCCACAGGAGAACATTAAGGCCACCCAGCTCCTGGAGGGCCTGGTGCAGGAGCTGCAGAAGAAGGCCGAGCACCAGGTGGGGGAAGATGGCTTTCTCCTGAAGATCAAGCTGGGCCACTATGCCACCCAGCTGCAGGTGGGTGTGAACTCCAGGCGGCACTCACCTCTTCTCCCCACCATGGCCACCCCTCACCCCCGAACAAAGTTGTTTAATCTTTTACCAGAGAGACTTGGCCTCTCTTCTCCCACCCAGGCCCTTTAAGGTTCCGTGTACTAGGTTCTGTAACAAACACTCAGTTCTAATTGGTTTTGTGTGCTCTTGTTTAAAAAAAATTCTTATTTGAAATTCACATAAAATTATCAAAAATGATACCAAGACCTGTATATAAGCCCAAATTGACCGATTAACATTTGATCCTATTCCTTTTTTCTTCCTGCATTGGCATACTTTTTAGTCATTGGATAGTAAGTTGTATACATTGCATCCCTTTACTCATTAATATTTATTTGGGCATCTTCTAAAAAATATAGGTCATATTGATTATAATCCCTTTATCAACTTCAGGAAACTTGATGTTGATATAAAATCTTAAGTAATCTTATGTCTATACTTCCATTGTGTCAGCTGGCCAAAATGCAGTCCAAGATCACATATACAGGTACTGCAAAAAGCTCATGGAAAAATAGAATTAAAAGATAGTTTAGAGGGCCAATGTTGTATAATAGCAAGTAAAGGCACTGCCTGTGATGCTGACATCCCAAATGGGTGCTGTTCTAAGTGCCAGCTTCTCCACTTCAGATGCAAGTCCCTGATAATGCACCTGTGAAAGCAGAGCCCCTGCATCTATGTGGGAGACCCAGATGCAGCTCCTGGCTGCTGGTTTCAGCCTGGCCTAGCTGTGGCTGTTCTAGCCATTGGGAGAGTGAACCAGTGGATGAAAGAACTCTTTCTCTCCATGCTTATAATTCTTGACTTTCAAATAAAGAAACAAACTTTTTTTTTTAAAGATTTATTTTTATTATTTTTTCATTGGAAAGGCAGATATACAGAGAGGAGAGACAGAGAGGAAGATCTTCCATCCGATGATTCACTCCCCAAGTGAGCGCAACGGGTCGATACTATGCCGATCCGAAGCCAGGAGCCTCTTCCGGGTCTCCCACGTGGGTGCAGGTTCCCAAAGCTTTGGGCCGTCCTCGACTGCTTTCCCAGGCCACAGGCAGGGAGCTGGAAGGGAAGCGGGGCTGCCGGGATTAGAACCGGCGCCCATATGGGATCCCGGGCGTGCAAGGTGAGGACCTTTAACCACTTGCGCCACCGCGCCGGGCCCTTTTTTTTTTTTTTTAAAGATTTATTTTTATTATTTTTTCATTGGAAAGGCAGATATACAGAGAGGAGAGACAGAGAGGAAGACAAACTTTTTTTTTTTAAGGTTAATTATTTTTATTGGAAAGGCAAATCCACAGAGAAAAGGAGAAACAGAAAGATCCTCCGTCCACTGGCCCACTCCCCAAGTAACCACAATGGCCAAACTGAGCTGATCTGAAGCCAGGAGCCAGGACCTTCCTCTGGGTCTCCCATGTGGGTGCAGGGTCCCAAGGCTTTAAGCCGTCCTTTACTTCCCTCCCAGGCCACAAACAGGGAGCCAGAAGGGAGGTGAAGCAGCTGGGACATGGATCAGCACCCATATGGGATCCTGGCACATGCAAGGCAAGGATCCAGCCATTAGGCTATCATGCCGGTCCCAAAACAAACATTTAAAGAAATAGTAACAAAAAAGGTATTTATTTTGGTGAAAAAAAAATTGAAATCGATTTAACCAGAATATGCGTTTTCCACAAACATTTTAAAATACCCTTTTCCTGAATCAAATTGTTCTTATCTGTTTCATCATCTTTAATCCAGAACTACTTTGCAATCCTCTTTTATTACTTCAGCATTTCAAAATAAGTCACCTACCCCCTTCCTGTTTACAGATAAAGCGTTCTTTGTGTGGGGTTTATCTCATGTTTTCCCATAATGAGATTCACGTTGCCCATCTCTGGTCAGGACTCTAAATGAGTGTCCTCTAAATGAGTGTACCCTCCCCAAGTGTGTGTCGCATTCAGACACACAGTGTCTCCCCTCCCCTCACCAATGATGCTGATTCTTACTGCTTAGGCCCAGTGGTGGTGTTTCTGCTGTGCTGTGTCCTTTAAAAAAAGAAAAACTTACCTGTTCTGCTTCCAAGAATATTGTACGTTAGACAACTTGAAACACAACAAACAAAGCAATCCTTTTTTCCCTGCCATTGGGTTTTCTCCGCTGTACTTTCTTGTTCCCCGTCTGTGTGAAAGGGCATTTCCTAGGATCCTGGTGGTGCATCACCTGGAGTCCTCTCGGCCAGGAGAACCCTAAGGCAGGATTAGGTCCTGGAGCGGGCAGTGGGACTAGGTGATGTTTGCTTTTGGATTCTTCCAGAACACGTATGACCGCTGTCCCATGGAGCTGGTACGCTGCATCCGGCACATTCTGTACAACGAGCAGAGGCTGGTCCGGGAGGCCAACAACGTGAGTGTCCCGTGGGGGCGGGGAGAGAAGAGGGAGGTCCCTTCAGCACACCCTGTCTCTGTTGTGTCATGGTTTTGTCAGGGTGACTCAGTGGATGTCTCTCGGTGTGTTTTAAAGACATGTACTCGTAACTGATGTATCTGCCTTTGATGAAATTGCAACCCTAAAACCACATAATTAAGTGCCAAATATTTTAATCCTAACCGCAATGTTTTGGTTTGCTGTTGTTTAATAAGCATATTTTCTTTAAATAAATCCTCCAGTAGGGGATGGAGAATTCATTGCCTTTACTTAGAAGAAGGATGTGTAAATAGTTACCTGTTGAATTTATATATACAGTTCACCAATATTCCCTTATTGGAAACATTAGTATTTCCTTGTCACAGTTCCCAAGAGGACTTTAAAGTCTCAAAATTCAGTGTCTCTTTTGGCTTGTTTCTCCCTCCAGTCCACCCAGGCCTTATTAAGTTTGCTTCCTATCATCATCATCTCCATCTTCACAGGATCTGCTTCCGCATCGTAGGAGGCCTTTTCTTTCTCTCTGCATTCTTTTCCAGCCTGAGTCAGATACTCCCACTGTGTGTTTTCTTCCTTTTTCCTATATAGTAAGAACTGTATCCATCTTTGGCTTTTTCTCAACTGCCTTCCACAGAGATGGTTTTCAACAGATTGTTCTCAATCATGACAGAACTCTTGCCATTTAGTTCAAAGGACCTTTTGTGAAATGCACTCGCACGTTCTCTGTGGGAACTTGGTAAACTCCAGTTAGCGTGATGTAGATCTTCACAGGCTTGTCTGACTGATCTCATCTGTAATTGCTGGTTCTCACTGGATATCCTGTTGCGATGGGAGCGACCACAGCAGCTGGCTAGTCATGGTTAAGGAGTTCTGCTCTTCTGGGATTATTTTTGTATCTTGTTCTTGATTTCGGTCTTAATCTTGGATTTTTCTACGGTAAAGGCATCATGTAGTCTTTTCCAAGTAGCCTTTTCCGAGCAATACCTTTACCTCCTCTAGATCTTCCTGTAATTCTTCCCAAGCTGAAGTCATGGTTGAGCTGAGTCAGGCAGCCAGACAGGAGAGAGAGCAGGAAACACCACACCTAGTACATTTAGCCTGGGCCAACCCCACTACCCAACCCAGAACCAGATCACAACCCACCTGTCCCACAATGTCTTAGTAAAGGCATGCTTGTTGTATTCATTAAATTACTTAGGAAAGACTTCGACTTAGCCCCCACAAACCCAGTGTTTAAAGGCATGGATTGGTCCAGGTCATTTAAATGGCTGGATACCCACAGATCTTATGTGTAGCCCCTTTCCCCATGACTTCCTATAGCAATCCTCAGGATACATCTTCTATGTGCAAACAAACTGTTCCATCTCCAAGATATCTTGAGTGAGGATCCATCGTGGTGCAGCAAATTGATCTGCTGATTGCAACACCAGTATCCCATATTGAAGTCGTGACTGTTCCACTTCCAAACCAGCTTCCTATTAATGTGCCTGGGAAGGCAGCTAATAATGGCCTAAGTGTTGGGGGTAATGCTACCCAGGTAGGAGGCCTGCTCCTGGCTTCTATCTGGACCAGCCTTGGCTGTCTGGACCATATGGTCTATGAACCAATAAATGGAAGATCTCTGTCTCTCCTCTGCATTTGAAATAAATAAATAGAGGTTGGCGCCCTGGTATTAACAGGCTAAGCCTCTACCTATGTGGTGTTGGCATCCCATAGGGGCACCAGTTGGATTCCCAGCTGCTCTACTTCTGATTCAGCTCCCTGTTAATGTGCCAGGGAAAGCAGTGGAAGGTGACCCATTGCCTCACATGGGGTATCCAGATGAAGCCCAAGCTCCTAGCTTGGGACTGGCCCAGCTCTGGCCTTTGCAGCCAATGGGGAGTAAACCAGTGGATGGGAGATTCTCTCTCTCTCTCTCTCTCTCTCTCTCTCTCTCTCTCTCTCTCTCTCTTCTCTCTCTAACTCTGCCTTGCAAATAAAAATACTTTTTTTTTTCAATGATAAACTTTTTTTTTTTTAAGAAAAAGAATCTTGGATGAGGACACAGTGTGTGTCCGGGCAGCCCTGTTGCCCACTCTGTCCTCATCATTAGCACAGTGACTTGGCATTGTGTCAGTGAGTTGGTGTGGAGTGAGGAGTCATCACTATTACTAGGAAAACCTGGATGACACCAAGACTGTGCTAAACTTTAGTCTCACTGAAAAGAATCAGATGGACCCCTTTTGGGAATCTCGAGTGGAGGCCAGATCTGAATTAGAAGTTTCTAGTGTACTCTACGAAGATGCCTTATGTCCTGCTGGCCCCAGTTCACACAGATGCCATTTGAGACTTGTACGCTGGTGAGGCCTTCGGCCATTTGTAGGGACCAGCTTTTCTTGGGGGTGTCAGCCTCAGCTTTCTCCTATCCCACTGGCCTGCGCTTTGTTTGGGTCTGTCTCCAGGGTAGTTCTCCAGCTGGAAGTCTTGCTGATGCCATGTCCCAGAAGCACCTGCAAATCAACCAGACGTTTGAGGAGCTGCGACTGGTCACACAGGACACGGAGAATGAGCTGAAAAAACTGCAGCAGACTCAGGAGTACTTCATCATCCAGTACCAGGAGAGCCTGAGGATCCAAGGTGGGCCCAGCACCTGTCCCCAAGGAGGAAGGGGGCTGGGTGGCTTTCAGGCTGCTCTCCAGCCCAACGTGTCCGAGTCTGTTTGAGTACCAGGCGATGACTGGCACCAATGTCAGTGCCAGAAGGAAGAGACTTCAGAAAAGCCAAGTGGGGAGTCTCATGCAGAATCCCTCGCACCCGGGAAGCCCCCAGACTGCAAGGGAGGACACCTCCTCTTTTAGGAAGAAGCTTGCCATCTAGGGAAAGAGCACCACAATATTTTATGTGTAATAGGCAACTTTCCCTAGAATGATCAGTGAAATAAATAATTACATGATAAGAAAACTTTCCAAGCAACGAGAGGTCAAGAGACAAGGGGCTGAACACTTCTGATGTTGCATTCCAAGTGGTGCTTCTGAGGGGCCTCCTGCACCTCTGGGGGTCCTTGTACCAGGAGACAAAGCATAAAGGTCTAGTGTTAAGTCCTGCTTGTCACAGCAGAGCCCACCAGTGCCCCTCTTGACCCTAGGGATATTAGACACGCTGAGACTAGGCAGTGTCCTCTCTTGCTTGCCAGCCCAGCTGAGAAACTCAGGGAGGTCCTGGATCAGCATGTCAGCCTATACAGATACTAACATGTGCACTGCACAGGTACTCCTGCAGCATGTGTGTGCAAACTCCATTCTAAACCATGTGGGTCATAATTATAAATGTAGTTCCTGCCCCAAAAGATCATAGAGTTTTAAAAGGGGGGTGCTAACGCAGTAGCCTAGTGGTTGAAGTCCTCGCCTTCCATGTACCGGGATCTTTATGGATGTTGATTCAAGTCCCAGCGGCCCCACGTCCCTTCCAGCTCCCTACTTGTGGTCTGGGAAAGCAATCAAACATGGTCCAAAAAGCCTTGGGACCCTGCACCCTCATGAGAGACCATGAAGAAGCTCCTGGCTTCAGATCGGATCAGCTCTGGCCGTTGTGGCCACTTGTGGGGTGAATCAGTGGATGGAAGATCTTCCTCTCTGGATATCTGACCTTTTAATAAAAATAAATAAATCTCTTTTTTTAATGATGTATTTAATTATTTGAAAGGCAAAGACAAAGCTATGGTCCATCTGCTGATTCACTCCCTAAGTGGCTGCAGTAGCAGGAGCCAGGAGTTCCATCCAGGTCATCCAGTGGATGGCAGCGGTCCAAGCGCAGGGGCATTCATGTGCTGCCTTCCCAGGCATACTAGTAGGGAATGGATTATAAAAGACACAGTGCTCACTAAGAGATGGGGACACTATAAGCTGCAACACGACAGATACAGAGGACCCGAGGCCCCTGGTCACATTGTAAGACCTGTCTGTCCTGTAAGAGTCCTACAAATCAAGCAACAGCTGGCAAGAGGATGCCAGAACATCCTCCTCCTAGCTGCTGACTCCACCCCACACTGCCTGCAGAGCCAGCAGAGTTCAGGGTGTTAATTCTACCCAGGTCCTTTGTGATCCTGAATTTAGGTTTAGGACCCGTGCTGGGGATGGGTTAAGACTGGAGCCACATCTGAATTTGTTCCTGTAGTGCCACGTGTGTTCAGCCTCATCTATCTGCCTCCCCCATCCTGTGCAGACCATGGGCCCGTTGGCGCAAGGGAAGGCTCAGCTCCCTCAGTGAAGCCAGCCCTTGTCTCAGGTCTCCCAGACCTCCTTCCAGAAAATTGTGCAGATTTCCAGGAGACAGCCAAGTGGGTCACTGGCATGGGGAGGCCAGGCCCAGGGGCTGGGACCAAACGCCCATCCTGTGAGTGGGCAGGTTTCTGTGTAGTCAGCCCAGTCCCCTAGTCCAGACCCTGCCTGGGGAGCACTCAGTCTGTATGGTGCCTTGCCCAAGATGTGTGCAGATCTGTGAGTTGTAGTTCTGGGCAGTTGCTGGCTGCCTGGAGTGGCTTTCATGGGTCCACTTGTGTGTTCCCTGAGGCAGGGACAAGGTCAGGGTGACATGGCCCATAGAGGCCAGCCAAGAGCTCCAGCAAGATGGGCTCGAGCTGGGAAGGTTCTGGGAGGAAGGCATGACCTGGGTCAGGGCTGTGGCTCTCTGTGGGGAAGGGTGTACAGGGGCTTTGCCTGGGCACATGCTCACTTCTAAGCCAGGTTAGTGACCAGTTAGTGCCACACAGGTGTTCCTCATGCTCGACTTTGTCCTTTCCTTGGTCTAAAGGTTTTTGTCACAGCTGTTCTGATCAAGGTGTTAAGGCCTCACAGGCCAGATCCCCATGTGGGTGAAGGCCCTCCAGGGAGTGTGAGGGCAGCAGTGCCCTTCCCAGGGACATCTCGTTGCTCCCAGCAGGCCCAGGTATCTCTCCTGGTGGTCTTTGCTGGTTAGTGGGCTGAGCTCATGGGGACCCCAGGACAGAAAGGGGTGGCTCCTGGCAGGGCACATGCCTCACCCGAGACTAGTCCAACCCAGAGTCCTTGTGATAAGGGCTCAGCAGACAGCTGTGTGTGGAGGCAGACAGAGCCAGAGGCAGGGTTGAGTGTCCATTACCCACCCCTGGAGGAGGACATGGTCAGGAGCCTGGAGAGTGAGGGTGGGACTGCCTTCGAGGGAGCCCATTCATCACTGGCACCCAGGCAGGCTTGCAGGACTCCTGATCTGTCCAGCTGGGTGCAGGCTTGGGGCTCGGTACCAGGCTGCAGGAGGTGATGGCCATGGGTGTCGTGTCCCCTCTGCAGCTCAGTTTGCTCAACTGGCCCAGCTGAACCCCCAGGAGCGACTAAGCAGGGAGACGGCCCTGCAGCAGAAGCAGGTGTCCCTGGAGGCCTGGCTGCAGCGCGAGGCCCAGACCCTGCAGCAGTACCGCGTGGTGAGTGGCTCTGCGTCCTGCTCCCAGGGTGGAACATCCTGGTGGGGGCTGTTGGAACCAGCCAGGGGGACAAGGCCGGGATGAGAGCAGGGCCCTGGAGAGCCGGTGGCTGGATCCTTCTCTCTGGGATGCTCTGGGTCAGCGCAGGTGTGGAGCAGGAGGTGTCGGGCCTTGTGTCTCTGGGCATCCTGCAGGCTGGCCTGGGGGCCCAGCAGGGCTGCTGTCCACCGTCCCGCAGGAGCTGGCTGAGAAGCATCAGAAGACCCTGCAGCTGCTGCGGAAGCAGCAGACCATCATTCTGGATGACGAGCTGATCCAGTGGAAGCGGCGGCAACAGCTGGCCGGCAATGGTGGGCCCCCCGAGGGCAGCCTGGACGTGCTGCAGTCCTGGTGAGGCCAGGGTGCGGATTGGGCTGGTGGAAGGGGCAGACCCCTCTGCCCACTGGGTCAGCCTGTGTGGCAGGCCCCTCTGTTGGGGACAACTTGCATCTCAGCAGGGCCCACTTGTGACACAGACATTAGTCTCAAAGTCCTTGCCAGCTTCCCTAGTGAGGGCGTCTTGTCCTGAGGGGGGCCTGGCCAGGTGTGCAGAGCTCTGGGCTGCTTGGTCCTGGCCTGTTTCCTGTGCTTCTGGTAGGCAGTCAGCCTGCTCTGAAGCAGGAAAAGGAGGGGCGGTTACAGCACAGACTCTCCTGGGAGTGTGGAGCTGTATAATGGCACAGAGTCTCCCCCAACGGGAGTCCTCCAACTGCAGTCTGGGAAGTGGGGGAGCCCTAGCATACCTGTGGTCCTGGGCTGCCCCCAGGTGTGAGAAGCTGGCCGAGATCATCTGGCAGAACCGGCAGCAGATCCGCCGAGCCGAGCACCTGTGCCAGCAGCTGCCCATCCCCGGCCCCGTGGAGGAGATGTTGGCCGAGGTCAATGCCACCATCACAGACATCATCTCAGCCCTGGTGACCAGGTGACCGCTGTCCCTTGGCCATGCCCCGTGGGCAGGGTGGCTCCCCACCTGGGAGGCAGGGGTGCTGGGCAGCCTGGGTGTCTGTTCCAGTCCTGGCTCGCCCTGCCTCACATCCCTCCCCACCCTGTCAGCTGTGACTGTGGCTTCTCTGGCCCCATTTCTATGGCAGACACCACAAGCGGTGTCCTCAGGGCCTGCTCCCCTCCTGCCCTTTTCCCAACCCCTTCCCTGGGGTCTCCCTGAGAGCTGGACCTGGGCAGTGTGCCCTTCTTTCATCTGCTGAGCCCCAGTGGAGGGAGGGAGGAGCCCCACCCTGCCCTGCCCTGCCCCAGAGAGGCCTCTCCCTGGAGCGTGTCTCACGGCCTGCGGGCTCCCCGTGTCCCCTGCAGCACCTTCATCATTGAGAAGCAACCCCCTCAGGTCCTGAAGACCCAGACCAAGTTTGCAGCCACCGTGCGCCTGCTGGTGGGCGGGAAGCTGAACGTGCACATGAACCCCCCGCAGGTGAAGGCCACCATCATCAGTGAGCAGCAGGCCAAGTCCCTGCTCAAGAACGAGAACACCCGCAAGTAAATGTCCCCCCGCCTCTCGCTCCTTGCTGCTTTCCTGTGTGCTTGCGATGGGAAGAACGTACTTCTGCCTCCTGGGTCAGCTTCCCGTGGTCCCTTCTGGCCTCTTCTTCACTAGAGAAGGAACAGCACAGGGATGTTCTGCCATGAAGATGCTACGCTTTGTTTCTCATTAGCAGGGATGCGCTCAAGACAACTCCTGTGTGTTGCGCAGCTAACGTTTCCGCTCCATCACCTCGTTTGTAGCAGCCTTCTTTTACTTCCTCTGCCCCAAATCTGTCCCGTCCCCACCGGGTGCCGAATCGCAGTGTATGACCTGGAGCCGCCTCTCTGTGCTTGCAGCGAGTACAGCGGCGAGATCCTCAACAACTGCTGCGTCATGGAATACCACCAAGCCACAGGCACCCTCAGCGCCCACTTCAGGAACATGGTGAGGCCGGGGAGGCGGGCCAGCCGGGATTTTTCCTGACTGGTGGGTGGTGAAGGGTGGGCGTCTTTGTCATCTTGCTCCTTCCCGTCTGCAGTCCCTGAAGCGCATCAAGAGGTCTGACCGACGTGGAGCAGAGTCTGTGACCGAAGAAAAATTTACCATCCTGTTCGAATCACAGTTCAGTGTTGGTGGAAATGAACTGGTTTTTCAAGTCAAGGTGAGGAGCTGGCTCGGCTACCACTCTGGCTCGATCTGTCTTTTGTCCTACAAAAGGATTGTTTAGATTCCTGCATGTCTTCTCTCACCACTGATCCACAGAGAACTGGGAACCCTCCCTTAGACTGTCTTAGGACATGGACACACAGTCTCTTTGCAGCAGCTGGTGGACAGGTAAACTGAGTCAGGGCACCAGCACTCAGAGTTTGATAAGTGGTTTGTCAATGCTAAATGTTTATTACTTGTTTCCCAGAAGTGTTTGTACTTTTCTCTCTTGTTCCCCATGTACCTTTGACAGACTAATTCCATCCTTCAGGAATGCCTAATTTTTATAAAACGTTTTTATTTGAAAGTCAGAGTCAACAGAAAGAGGGAGAGAAAGATCCTCCATCCACTGTTTCACTCCCCAAACAGCCACAATGGCTGATGCTGGAGCCTGCCAAAAGCAGGAGCTGGGAACTGCTTCCAGGCCTGCCGTATGGGTGCAGCGGTCCATGTACATGAGCCATCTTCCACTGCCTTCCCAAGTGCCTTAGCAGGGAGTTGGATTACATGTGAAGCAGCCAGCTCTTGAGTCAGTGCACATATGGAGTGCCAGGATTGCAGGTAGTAACTGTACTTGTTGTGACACAGCACTGACCCCACTATGCCACCTTTTTTTTTTTTTAAGATTTATTTGTTTTCATTGGAAAGTCAGATATACAGAAAGGAGGAGAGACAGAAAGGAAGATCTTTCATCTGCTGATTCAGTCCCCAAGTGGCCACAGTGGCTGGCGCTGAGCCGATCAGGAGGCAGGAGCCTCCTCTGGGTCTCCCACGTTGGTACAGGATCCCAAAGCTGTCCTCAACTGCTCTCCCAGGCCATAGCAGGGAATAGGATGGGGAAACAGGGCCATCCGGACACAAAGTGGTGCCTGTATGGGATCCCGGCACATGCATGGTGAGGACTTTAGCCACTAGGCCACATGCTGAACCCACAATATCACTTTTTTAAAGAGGATTTATTTATTTTTATTAGAGAGATGGACTTACAGGGACACAGGGACACAAGACAGATTTTCCATCCACTAATTCACTCCCCAAGTGGCCACAATGGCCAGAGCTGAGCCTTTCAACTCAGGAGCCAGGAGCTTCTTCTGGGTCTCCCATACAGGTATAAGGTCCCAAGGCTTTGGACCATCCTCCACTGTGTTCCCAGGCTGTAAGCAGGGATCTGGATGGGAAGCAAAGCAGCTGGAACACAAACCAGTGCCATATAGGATACTGATGTTTGCATTTAAGGAATTAACCAGTTAAACCATTGCACCAGCCACCACGATACCATTTTTAAAATAAAATGTCTATGACTGAGCACAGAATGTCAGATTAGGGGCCAGCACTGTGTATAGCATGTAAAGCTGCTACCTGCACTGCCAGCATCCCATATGGGTGCCAGTTCAAGACCCAACCATTCCATTTTTGATCCAGCTCCCTGCCAATGTACCTGAGAAAACAGCAGAAGATACCCCGAGTATTGGGCCTCTATATCCCAGGGAGCAATTAGGAAGAAGCTCCAGACTCATGGCTTTGGCCTAGTTCAGTTCCAGTTGTGACCATTTAGGGAGTGAACCAACTGATGGAAGATTTCTCTTTCTCTCTGTTTCTTCCTCTAGGTGTGACTTTGGCTTTCAGATAAATAAATATTTTGGGGTGGGGGAGATTATTACTAGAACTACTCAGATTCTGTGTGTGAAGATGTTTCCTGAAGCAGGAGAAAGTTGCAGCAGGAAGGGACGGGGGAGGAACTTGGGGCTGTGGCACTTAGCTCTCTCCTGTATTCTTTTAGACCCTGTCGCTCCCTGTGGTGGTGATTGTGCACGGCAGCCAGGACAACAACGCAACAGCCACCGTTCTTTGGGACAATGCCTTCGCGGAGCCTGTGAGTGGGTTTTGGGGCCTGTGGGTTTCCAGGTCTTCATTCCAGTGTCTTTGGATCTCTTTGTTTTCATCCTTCCCCAAAAAATCAGAGGAAAACAAATGCTGTTTTCCCTAACAGAGTAGAAGGGTTGTGGGAAGCATACAGGCTGGGTTAGGCCACAATTCACTTACCATGTGACTGTGGGACAGGTGCCTGGCCTCTCTGGGCCTGAGTTGCCAGCCAGCGATGGGCAGTTGTAGTGTCAGGAAGATTGTGTTTACTGACACGGGGAGTTGTCATTGGCTGAGGCAGTTCTCCGACTCTTACACGGCAGTTCCTTCATGTCATCTTCCTTCCATGAAATGATGACAGCCAGTGTTCTCTCCAGATCTCTGAGCCTGTGATTCATTGCAGGTCTCTCAAGAAAATGAGAAGCTTTGTCTAGTGGACAAAGGGAGTTTTCTAGATCTGTGTACCTGAAAGCCGCTGATGTGCTGCTTAACACACATTTCCAGAATGTTCCAGTAGGGAGAGGTTTATGTGTTGCATACTTGCAGCAGAGATTAGTCCAGAAAAGCAGGATAAGGGGTTCATGTTCAGGACATAAACGTGTGTCCTTCTCTCCTGGCTGTTGGGAGGACTTAGCCTTCCCAGCAGCACTCTTGAGAAAACAGTATTTTTATTGCAAAGGCAGGTTTTTAATGAGGTTCTACCAACCTCCAAGTTCGGACTATTTTAATTTTTTTAAGATTTTATTTATTTTTATTGGAAAGGAAGATTTACAGAGAGAAGGAAAGAAACATCCTCCATTTGTTAATTCACTCCCCAGGTGGCACCAAAGACTGGAGCTGAGTTGAGCCAAAGCCAGGAGACTCCTCCACGTCTCCTATGTGGGTGCAGGGTCCCAAGGGCCTGGGCCAGCCTTCACTGCTTTTCCAGAACACAAGCAGGGAGCTAGATGGGATGTGAGGTAGCTGATACATGAACCAGAGCCCATATGGGATTCTGGTGGGTGCAAAGCAAGGATGTAGCCACTAGGCCATTGCACCAGGCCCCAGACTCAAAAGATCTGCCTGCATCTGTCCCTATAAGCTTCCCATGTAAGACTGTTCCACTTTCCTCATACCCTTCCCTATCAGCAGATCTTATCCCCTCATCACCATGATAACTAAAGTGTCCTCTTGTGACACTTTAGTTATGTTTAGTTTTGTTTTTCACATTTTTAATTTTGCTAAAGACTAGTGGTGTACATCTTATGCTAACTTTTTAAGATTTATTTATTTTTATTGGAAAAACATACATACAGAGAAGGAAATGCAGAAAGAAAAATCCTCCATCCTCTCACTCCTCAAGGGCCCGCAACGACCAGAACTGAGCCGATCTGAAGCCAGGAGCCAGGAGTTTCTTCTAGGTCTCCCCACATGCAAGTACAAAGTCCCAAGGCTTTGGCCCATACTCTGCTGTTTTCCCAGGCCACAAGCAGAGAGCTAGAAGGGAAGTGGAGTAATTGGGACATTAGCCAGCACCCATATGGGATCCCAGGTGTGCAAGGCGAGGATTTAGCCCACTAGGCTATTGTGTTGGGCCCCATATTATGCTACTTCAAAATAAATGAATTCTTGGGGGAGTTTCTTGTTCAACTGTGTGTGTGTGCACGTGCGCGAGAGAGAGAATTAACATGAATGCCTTGAAGTGTTGTTTGTGGCTCCTCAAGATCAGAGGCTGTTATGTCCTCATCCAGGCTCTGGTAAAATAGGTTTTACTGCCCTCATAATGCAGAGCAGTTAGCAACCATACAGTGACAGGCAGAACTCCTTTCTTTGCCTTTTTAACTGACTCCTAATAGTAGTTGCATGTATTTATAGGGTGGGTGTCCCCAAGTGGGTGTCTGTGGTGCAATGCTCAAATCAGGGAGGTTAGCATGTGTGTCCCCTCAGACATTTATCACCTCTTTGTGCTGAGAACACTAAGAATCCTCTCTTCTGGCTATCTGTGAATCACATGATATAGACTTGCCAGCTGTACCCACCGCAGCCCACGGCAGGATCCCCGTGCTTCACCCGCCTCACTCCTGCCCTCCCACCCTGTCCCCTGCCCGTGAAGGGACAGAATTCCCTTACCTAGTGACCCAGGCCCTCTCACAGGCAGCATCAGGTAAAAGGGGTTCAGAACATGTGGCTTTTATGCCACCATGTATGAGGGCCAGTGATGCTCTATTGTTGCCACCAGCAGGACAGAATCTTCGAAAAGTTCATGGGAAATGTGTGTCATGAAACAACCATGCATAGTTTTCGCCATCCCTGGCACCAAAGGAAACATCCTTTGTCCCGTTTGCTCAGGTTGTATGGCATCCACTCAGATTTTTGACCTCGCGTGAGAAACTAGATTCAGACGGCCCTGAGGAGTAGATCCGGCCCCCGATGGGCAGGAGTAGGAGCTGACATTGCTGTACATACATCTCATGCTTCTTAAATTTTATATTGCATGAAGGAATTACCCATTCCAGCAGTTATGAAGCAATTAACATGAAGTGCTGAGGCTAGGCTGGATGAGACTTTTTTTTAAAGCCCTTTATTAAAAATCCCAACCAATCTCTTCATACCATTTGCTGCACTTTGAGCCCAAGGTCTGGGTGAGAGGTGCCAAGGCAGGATTACAGCTGTGCACATGCCTCTATAGGGACTCCCTCCCCCAGCCCTCACTCTTTCTGCCTCTCTTTTTACCTAGAGAACCAGTCTTTCAGCCTTCCTGATTTCCAATATGTTCACAGTAGAAGAGCCAAACTTTGGTTAGGCTTTGTTGTCCCACTCTCCAGGCCCGGGGCTGAGCTGCAGATTCAACATCTCCTTTTGCAAAGCAGCTCCCACCACTTTGTGGCAGTGCAAGAAAATAACCTAGAACGCTGTCATCTCAGTCTCACAGCCTGCTCACCCCAAGGTCTGACTGCCCTCAGGCCTGGCAAGGCACCTGTTTATGATTGCTCCCAGCCATCACCGTCTTTCTTTGGCAGCTTAAAGGCAATAAATCGCACAACTGTTTGCTCACACGGTTTTGGCCTCTCCGTCCTCCTAGGGCAGGGTGCCATTCGCCGTGCCCGACAAAGTACTGTGGCCGCAGCTGTGCGAGGCCCTCAACATGAAGTTCAAGGCTGAGGTGCAGAGCAACCGGGGCTTGACCAAGGAGAACCTGGTGTTCCTGGCGCAGAAGCTCTTCAACAGCAGCAGCAGCCACCTGGAAGACTACAACAGCATGTCTGTGTCCTGGTCCCAGTTCAACAGGGTGAGAGGCCCAGGCCACCGGCTGCCGTTAGGTCAGCCATTCCAAACCAGACATGCCCAGAGCCTGCTACACCGCCCCTACCCCACCCAGATGTGCCCTTGGTGTTTCTGATAAAATGGACCCAAACTAACGGAAGTTTCTGAGTAGATGCACGCCTTGGGAGTTCCCTGGATCCCTGTAGGAGGTTGCATCTTTGCGTACTTGGGCTTTGTGAAAGAAGCAGCAAATACCAACACGGTTCTTGATGAGCAAAGCCAGCATGGTCACAGTCCTTGGCTCTGTTCCATTTGCTCGCTGTGTTCCTTGATGTGTCATGCCAGGTCAGGCTCCTGTAGCATCCCTAGCCCACAAAAGGGGTTGCTGATGAAGGAGAGCTTTTCCCTTAGCACCGGGTAGTTCCAGTGTCATCTGACAGGTCGATCAAATCTGCCATTAGTTTTGCTTCTTTTTTTTAACCCATTATCACCGCCAGGGTTGTTTTTTGTTTGTTTGTTTGTTTTGCTATTTTTACAGCATTAGCCCTGAATTCAGAAGTGTCCACGATCTGTACTTACAGGCTTGCTAGCGGACAGGCTGGTAATCAGAGGATGTTGGGGCAGGGAGGCAGGAGGGCTGGCCGGCTGTCCTTGCCGTGGCCAGCGACACTTGTGCCTCAGAATGGAATTAGCTAAAAGCATTTTATTGAAATCTGTTGGGAACCTCTGCGCGACCTCACAGCATGCTCTAAATGTATTCGTCAGCTGGGTATCTTGTTCAAAGGCAGGCTGTGAGTCAACAGATCTGATTCGGGCCCTGGAACTGTACATTTCTCAGGTGCTCCCGGGGACCCCAGGGCTGCCAGAGTGTCAGGATTAGTCAGTGCCAGTCAGATGGGGGCCACCACATAGTGCCAGCGCTGGCAGGGAGGCTGTGCTGTTCTTCCCCGACCCTCCCCTCCTCTTCTCCTGGCACTCTGTTTCCTGGCTGTAAGGCCTTTGTAAAAGTCAGGCAGGTCCATTTGCATGCTTCCAGTGTCCCATGTTTGTACCCCGTTTAGTTTTCTTGGTTGAAGTGTGTGCGCCTGCAAGCCGGGTTCCCACTGCTCCTCTTGCCTCCTTGTGTTCATTATTGGTTCTCCACCCAGGAGAACTTGCCAGGACGGAATTACACCTTCTGGCAGTGGTTTGACGGAGTGATGGAAGTGCTAAAAAAGCATCTCAAGCCTCACTGGAACGATGGGTGAGCATCATCATTTTTTTTTTAATTTTTTTAATAATGATTACATGGTTGATCAGGATGGGAAGGATCGAGGAGAATCATCATTGCTTAAGTCAGCACTAGAGTCAAGTCTCCTTCTTGGCCCTCACCTGTCACCCTCTGCTTCCGCTCCTGTGGCCTTTGTGATCCAGGGCCATCCTCGGCTTTGTGAACAAGCAGCAGGCCCACGATCTGCTCATTAACAAGCCTGACGGGACCTTCCTCCTGAGGTTCAGTGACTCAGAAATCGGCGGCATCACCATTGCCTGGAAGTTCGACTCCCGTGAGTGCCTGTCCCTTTTTCAAAGAGCTGTGTTTTGCTTTCATGTCCAGAGTCAACTGTTTTTATTGCAAAACTGGTACTTGGTTACGCACACCTGTTGTTTTGGGGGAGCCAAGATTTGTTACAGGAAATACATGCACAGCCAGGACATGGCAACAGCTGCCTGTCAAACATGTTGCAGGAGGCACAATGGCTAATTTTGGGATTCAGGAGCATTTGATCAGGACATGGGTTCCTGCAGCGCAGGGTGGTCTGTGCAAGACCCCAGCTGCTCACCCGCTGGAACATGGGCCTCATTGTTATGCAACCCAGAACTTACTGTGGCAGAGAAGTCCTCTGGGAGTTTGAGTCTCTCATGAGGACACACCATGGGAATCTCGCCCATGCCCTCAGCATAAAGATGTTGCTCTTGACTGTTTGTGTCCAGGAAGGGGAGCAGAGAATGGCCTGCTGGCTCATCTTTCATGATGGAAGTGCCGATATCACTTCCCCTGCCTGTGTGAGCTTGTAGCCCTGCTCGCTGATAGATAGGCAGGGGCTGGGTTGGGGAGGGAACCTAAGTATGGCTTCTCCCTGAGCAGAATAGCATGTGGACTTGAAATGGCCCAAGAGCTTTGGCTCTTGAAGGAAGCTGGTCTGTTACCTGCTTACTGACCAGTGACTTCAAAATGACCACCTGTGGTTATTTTAAAAATGGAGCTCTTTTGGGGGCCATCTCAGTGAAAAGCTCAAATTTGTAGCATGTTTGGGTTTTAAGATTTCCTGTTCAGAAAACACGTGTAGAACGTGACTGTTGTGTGTTTTGGTCTAGAGGAAAGAATGTTTTGGAATCTGATGCCGTTTACCACCAGAGATTTCTCCATCCGGTCCCTGGCTGACCGCCTGGGGGACTTGAATTACCTTATATATGTGTTTCCTGATCGACCAAAAGATGAAGTGTACTCCAAATATTACACACCGGTTCCTTGCGAGCCTGCCACTGGTAATGATGTTTGCATTCTGATTTGATTGTGTGTGTGTGTGTGTTTCTCATACATGAAAGCCTGCACACTAGCCTTCAGTTCCTGCTGTGTGAGCATTATCCAGGGCAGGTGTCAACGCCAGGCTGTGTACTTCATTTCAGGAAAATGCATCTGCCACCAATCCCAAATACCACATTCCAAAGCACAAATCACTTTTAATACAGGCTTTATTGCCTGCTGAATCTGGAGGTATTAGGTGTTTCTTGTAAAATTGTCAGAAAACACATGAAAGCAGAGGCAAGAAAGAAGACATGACCCACGGTCTTTCATCTGGAGGCTCGACTCCATGCACGCGATAGCGGCTGGCACTTGACGCTCTGCAGTGTGCCTCCTCCCTGCATTCCACCAGCAGGTGCACAGCAGTACTTCCTCTGTGGAGACCATATACCAGCCAGTGGTAGGGAGAAAGCAGTCAGGTTAGCAGGCACTCGCTTAGCCACGGGAGCTGTGAGGAGAACAAAGCCAGGGCTAACGGGCATTTCTTGAAGAGAAACTGGAGTAGACCCTGGTACAGGAAGGAAGCTGGCCATGCACAGACCCAGGCACGGGGAGGAGGCTGGTCCCACACAAACCCGGGCACGGGGAGGGAGGCTGGCCGTGCACAGACCTGGAGAAGACATTCCGGCCAAGAGCAAAGGCAGAACTGCTGGGCTGGGAGTGGGAGAGTAGAGTGAGCAACTGCATGAGCACCTGGGAGGTCACAGCCAGTGAAGCCAGGAAGAGAGTGAGGGGTCAGAGCAGATCACCTCAGACCTTGGAGTCCAAGGTGGAAGATGCGAGTTTGGGTCACCACAGAATCTTTTGTGACTTGATCTCTCTCTCTCTCTCTTTTTTTTTTTTTTTGAAAAGGCAGATCAGATTTACAGAAAGACAGACAGAAAGATCTTCCATCCACTGGTTCACTCCCCAAATGGCCACAACAGCCAGAGCTGTGCTGATCTGAAGTCAGGAGACAGAAGCCTCTTCCAGGTCTCCCATGAAGGTGCAGGGTCCCAAGGCTTTGGGCCGTCCTCCACTGCTTTCCCAGGCCACAAGCTGGGAGCTGGATGGGAAGCAGAACAGCCAGGACACAAACCAGTGCCTGTTTGGGATCCTGGCGCTTTTAAGGGAAGAATTAGCCAATTAAGCCATCACACCAGGCCCTCTGTCATTTCTTCTTACACTAAGATGATAGTCGCATTCATAAGTGGAGAAAAAAGACCAACTATGAAAAGATTTATGTGATAGTTTAGGTTACCCATCCACTGCCTCTTTTTATTAGCACAGCCAATTCAGCCTGTAGAATCTCATTGCCACAGCCTTTGAGTTTTGTCATCTCTGCCACAAACTAAGCACAGAGGGTATGCAATATCCAGGCAAGGTAGCTCCCACCGCCAAACCAAGAGTGCCAAGTCGGGATGGCAGGTGCCCATGCCCCTGGGGACTGACTCTGTCAGGCTCTGTGATCTTCACCCTGTTGGTGCCAGGCGGTCTCCTTCCCTGGCTGAGACCACCGCTCCCCACCCCCATCCCATGCCCAGGAAGCAAAGCCCCAGCCATGCACCCTCAGCACATGCTCACACTCTTCCTGCCAGGTTGGCAACTGTGGAGGACCCACTCATGCCAGCCTTGCCCCTGGTCTCTCATGGCACAGGGACCTCTGAGAAGCGACATGCCCAACAACAGTGTTCTTCTGAGGCAGGCAACACAGGCAGCCCTCCCTGGGATGTGTGGACACCTTCACATGAAGGAGCAGACAGGTCCCGGGAAGAACCATGTCCCTGCTGCCTGAGTACCTCTGGCCCAAGGGTTGCCTCGAGCTCATCCAGCCCAGCTGATGCCTCTCCAGTATGTGGAGGTCTGGGCAGGAGCTACCAGCAGCAGGGCACCTAGGGATGTGAGGCAGAGCTTCCTGGGACAGCCTGGCCAACGTGGGACGGTTCCCAGGGTGAAAACCCCCTACTTGCTGTGACCACAAATGTCCTCCCCAGACCATACACAGCAGAGGCTCTCCCCTCTGACTGGACACTGCTAAAGGAGATTTGTATTGGAGTCTGTGTTTCCTGTGGCTTAAGGAACTTAGTAGAACATTCAAGCCATCCTCCAGATGCCTGGGATGCCCCACGTCTTCCCCACAGGTTGAAACATCACTGTGTTAGTGTCTGTGTTAGTGTACAGGTAGATAGAAGTACAGGTACCCAGGCGCGAGCCTCTGGTAGCTGTGTCGTATCCCATACAAAGTGGATTCTGAGGGGAGATTGCATCTTTGCCCTTATCCCCGCAGCTAAGGCCGTGGACGGGTACGTGAAGCCGCAGATCAAGCAAGTGGTCCCTGAGTAAGTGTGCAGCGTCCCCTTGGGGCCTCCTCCCACCCTCCTGTTCCGTCACCCCAACCCAGCCTTTCTCTTTGCTCACACACCTGGCTCAGCCATCGGAGGGGGTAAAGCTGACCCCAGGTCCTGTCCCACAGCCCAGTGGGCCCTGTGTCCTGCCTGACCCAGAGAAGGAGGCCATTCGCCCGGGCCCCTCCTCCGGGTTGGGCAGCCAGAGGCATCCCTGGCAGCTGAGCTCTGTCCTGCTTCTCTCGCAGGTTTGTGAATGCATCTGGAGAGGCAGGGGCCAACGCCACCTACATGGACCAGGCCCCCTCCCCGGCTGTGTGTCCCCAGACACATTACAACATGTACCCCCAGAAGTAAGTTGGGTTTTCATGGGAGCTGTGGGGAAGGGGTAATTATGGATGGGGCCTCAGTCTGTAGTTCCGAAGGCTCGTGGGCATGGGAGTCTGGCCGAGGCCTGAGCCCTAGGCGGGAGTGATACTACAAAAAGTGTGAGTAGTGTGGGATGCAGGGCAAGTAGACCCATCTATATTCCTCATGAGACTGTCTTCCCCTGATAAGGACCACATCGGGGGAGGTGCCATGCCCTAGGTCTAACTGCAGAGACTTTGCTCCCCCGAGTCAGGTCAGAAGGAGGTTTTAGGGCAGAAGTTACTGCCTGGTGAGGCCTGGGTCTCCAGCATCCTTGGCTTTCCCTTCCCAGCCCGGACTCCGTCCTTGACACCGATGGTGACTTTGACCTGGAAGACACAATGGATGTGGCACGCAGAGTAGAGGAACTGCTGGGCCGCCCCATGGACAGCCAGTGGATCCCTCACGCACAGTCGTGACCCAGCCCGGCTCCGTTGTCAGCAGCTCCGTGGTCCTTGCCGGAGGAGCTCCTGTCGTGGATGCGTGACTTCCATGAACCGCTTCTCTTTGGAAACAATGCTCATAATGTGAAGTGTCCGTCCTCGCTTGTGACTTCGTGTTTCTGTGCACGTGGCACCAGTGGCGGGCGTGTGAGTGCGTGCGTGTGTGCGTGTGCACGTTGCCGTGTGCTTCTGCTCCATGCCGCCAGCCCAGGGGCCACCTCAGAGGCTGTGCTTGTTCCTGCCCCTCGCAGAGGAAGGCGGTCTCAGCCATGGGTCTTAAAGGTAGCGGAGCTCCAACCACGGCCACAACTGGAGAGGGCCGCTCTTCTCCACCAGGCCTCCACCACTGTCCGCCAAGCTCCTGCTGCCTCATCAAGGCTGGAGGCGGCATGGGGAAGGGGGCTTGGTGGCGGCTTTTTGCTTAGCCACCTGATGTCCTGTCTTGGTCCTTTCTCCTCCTGCCCCCTGCCTCCCTCTCTGTCTCTGGAAAGCCACACAGTTCCTGTGTGTGTCCACACAAAGGAAATGGAGGAAAGTGAGTCGCGTGACAGAGCCAACGCTGGGAGGTCCTCGGTGTCATGGCCAGGGTGGTCGGCATGGCCCTGACCCCCAGGTGCTGAGTCCCAGGGCAGTGGCCCTTCTGCTCGGTCTGTCCTTCCGTATCTTCCTTAAGGCTTAGTCACAGTGGCTCTGGGGCAATGTTGAATGGCATTTTTTTTATTGTTTTGTTTTGTTCTGTTTTGTTTTGTTTCTAAATTGGGTCTTTTTGGTTCCCCCTTCCCACCAAGTTGGACAGCAGGGTTCTTCCTTCCTGTGACAGGCTGGAGGAGCAGGCTGGGAGCAAGGCCTGACCAGGTACTCCCGCTGCTGCAGGCCACTGGGTACCAGGTGGAGGGAACTTGGGGGAAGTGCAGTCAGCAGATTTGCTTGGGAGTTTGGTGAACTATGAAAACCAAATCAAAAAAACAAAAAAAAAAAGAAAGAAAGAAAAGAAAAAAACTCCCTTGGCAGCATCTTGTCCTGTGGTCTCCTCCGAAGAATCATGCCAGAGGGCAGGACTGGACAGAAATGGGCAGCGGGGCAAGAGGAGCAGGTGCAACTTTCAGTTGAGGCCTAAGAGGTCCCCTGGGGCCCCTTCTCCAGATGAGCCCGAGCACCCCTAGAGAGGATGGCCCTAAAAACCTTATTTTTATACATGTGAGTAAATAAACAGATATTTTTTTTTTTTACAAAAGTAACTTCTGAATTTATCAGTGTTTTGCTGTTAAAGGAAAATATTCCTCTGTAGGAAACTATTTATTGGAAGATGACTTTTTTAAAGCTGCTGTTTGCCCGGGCTTGGGTTCATACACTGAGTTATTCTTCTATGTCAGGGAGTGGAGTCTCTGCTCCCATCCCGAGGAGCGGACTGGCTCCTCTTCAGGTGCCATCTTGGCCTGAGGAGACTGGTCGGCCCCTTCCCTGCCACAATGTCCAGCTGACTTCACCAGCTGCCCTGGCTGGGACACGGAGCCCAGTGGTACTTTGCTGTCGGAAGTGGGTACCGCCCCAGGGCCCAAGGAGGGCAGAGCAGCCCAGCAGCCCTGAGCGGCTCAGAGCTCACTTGGCAGTTAGCACTGGGGTCTGGGAGGAAGAGCGGGGGTGTTCACACGGGGGCCAAGCCGCCCTTGTTCTCAGGAGGCTGCGCTGAGAGGTGGGAGAGAGTTTTGACTGAAAGGTGCGCTCGTTCTCTGCATTCTGTTTTCTCTCTTCGCCCTGCTCCTGCAACCACAACAAGAGGTGGTGGCAGGCTCGTTGCCGCTCCCACACCCCTCTACCCCCACCGCACACAGAGTCCTCCAATGCGCCAGCTCCCTGTGTGTGGCGTGTGCAGGTTTTGTAGGGGATTGGGGGGAGACCACGTAAGCGTAACTTAAAATGAAAGTTATACTTTTTATAATTTTTTCTTTCTAAAACTTTGTGAAATGATCTCAGATTCATATTTTAGCGTGGGAGGCAGATCATATAGCAACCAAAAAAAGTATTGTGTACAATTTGGGGCAGTCACAGAATTGTGTATTTCATGTTACAATAAAGGCTTCATCTGAAGAGTTAGGTTTGAGTCTTATTTTTTTTCCCCATCATGTGGCAAAGGAGGATGACTGTAAGTCTCGGTGTGATTCTGAGAAGCAGGCGTGGGACACGGCTGGCCCACAGACCCTACAAGCCCACGAGGTCACTCATGCTGTCCCTGCCAAGGCAACCATCAGCGTTACCAAAAGACAGTCAGCCTACAGCAGGTGAATTGTGATGTTGACAGTTCTGTATGATCCACGGGTGAGGTTGTGAACATCCAGTGGCCCTTGGTGGACAGACAGGGTATTCCTTATTTTCCTGCCCATGTAATGTTATAAAACAGTGCAACAGGTTCCCTCCTGGCCTTCTCATGCACTCCTGTGAGAAAGCTCATCTTGTGTAGGCAGGCACCATTGCAGTGCCAAAGATCACGCTAAGAATGCTTGCATCCTATGGCCAGAGCATTGGCTCAATTGGTTAATCTGCCACCTGCAAGCACCAGCATTCCGTAAGGGATCTCCTGTCTCGGTTGCTCCACTTCCCATCCAGCTTGTTTCCTGGGAAAGCAAGTGGTGGAGAATGGTCCAAAGTCTTGGGATCCTGTACCCATATGAGAGATCCAGAAGAAATTCCTGGCTCCTAGCTTCAGATCTGCTTAGCTCCAACCATTGCAGCCATTTGTGTGAAAGATAGCTCTGTCTCTCCTCTCTGTAAATCTGCCTTTCCAATGAAAATAAATAAATCTCAAAGAAAAAAAGTTTGTTGTCTGTATTGGAGGGCTGAAGTTTAAGTCCTGACTGCACCTTCAGTTCCAGCTTTCTGCTGAGGCACACCCTGGGAGGCAGCAGTTGATGGCTTGTGTCCTCAAGTCCTTGTCACTCACACGGGAAACCCAAAGGGAATTCCCGGTTTCCACCTTTAGCCCTGCCCATTCCCCATCTATACAGCCATATGGGGGATGAACTAACGGATAAAAGATGTCTCTCTGCCTTTCAGACAAGTAAATCCTGTTGGAAGATATTTCATCTGCTTCATGGCTTCCAGATGGCCACCATGGCCAGAGATGAGCTGATTCAAAGTCAGGGGCCAGGAGTTTTTCCAGGTCTCCCAAGCAAGTGCAGGGTCCCAGGGCTTCAGGCCATCCTCTGGCTGCTTTTCCAGGGCCTAAGCAGGGAACTGGATGGGAAGTGAAACAACCAGGATATAAGCAGGCATCTTTATGGGATGCCAGTGCTTACAGGTAGAGAATTAGCTTGTTGAGCCATTGTACTGGCCCCTCTATCAAGTAAATCAAACAGGAGCAGGTGTTGTGTAGCATGTTTGAATGTGCAGGTGGGATTCCCAGCTCTGCTTCCCATCCAGCTTCCTGCTAGTGTGCACCCTGGGGAAGTCCTTGGGTCCCTGCCTCCCATATGGAAGACCCAGCTTGAATTCTGGGCTCTTGGCTCCAGCCTGACCCAGCCCTGGCTGAGGAATTTGGGCCATTGAATAGGTACATGGAAAGTGTCTTGGGCCTGGTGGTGTGGCCTAGTGGCTAAAGTCCGGGATCCCATATGGGTGCTGGTTCTAATCCCGGCAGCTCCACTTCCCATCCAGTTCCCTGCTTGTGGTCTGGGAAAGCAGTCGAGGATGGCCCAAAGCCTTGGGACCCTGCACCCGCGTGGGAGACCCAGAAGAGTTTCCTAGTTCCTAGCTTCAGATCGGCACAGCACCAGCCGTTGCAGCCACTTGGGGACTGAATCAGCAGATGGAGAATCTTCCTCTCTATCTCTCCTCCTCTCTGTATATCTGACTTTGTAATAAAAATAAATAAAATCGTAAGTGTCTTGTTTCTTCTCAGTCTGCCTTTCAGAATAGTAAAAATAAACAATGGACATTTTAAAACTTTAGCAAAAAATAATGACCCAACTGAATGCTTTCCATAACAGATACACTTTAGATTCAAAGGCACCAAACAGATTGAAGATAAAAGCATGAGAAAATGTGTCACCCAACCATGAGACATGTAGAGTAGCTTGTCCTGGATCAGAAAAAACACACTGTAAAACAAATAATGTTACTAGATATAGCGATACTTATAATAGTGACAAAGAAGTGAGATAGAACAGTTATGTACATCTAGCAGCCAAACCTCAAAATACATTTTTAAAAACCTGACATATCTGGAGGAAGAAATATAAAATGCAATAATATTTGGAGACTTCAGATATTTGGAGACTTAAAATAACACAGGGGCAGCATTGTGGCACAACACATTTGGCTACAATTTAGGACTCTAGCAACCCTATGGGTTTGCCTGTTTGGATCCCGGCTGCTCCACTGTAGATCTACCTTGCTGTTCATGCACCTGGGAAAGCAGTGGAACGTGGCCCAAGTGTTTGGGACCCTGCATCCATGTGACACAAGACCCAGACAGAGCTCCTGGCTTCAACCTGGCCCAGCCATGGCTGTTGTAGGCATTTGGGAAATGAACCAGTAGATGCAAGATCTCTCCGTCTCCCTCTTTTTCTTCTCTCCCCAACTTCCCTCCCTCCTTCCTTTTCTCACTCCCCTCCACCACCGCCTATCAAATGAAAGTGGCTTTTCATGAACTATGTTTCATGGGACACTACAAAGAGAACAAAAGATGGTCCACAGGGTGAAATATTTTTAAGTCGAAGGTAGGCTAGTGGATTTATATGTAAATACACAAATATACTGGCATGGTAGCCTAGTGGATAAAGTCCTTGCTTTACAAACACCAAAATCCTATATGGGCACTGGTTCGTATCCCAGCTGCCCCACTTCCCTTCCAGTTCCCTGCTTGTGGCCTGGGAAAGCAGTGGAGGATGACCCAAAGCCTTGGGACCCTGCACCCACCTAGAGGACCTGGAAGAAGCTCCTGGCCTTGGATCAGCTCAGCTCCAGCCATTGCATCCACTTGGGGAGTGAACCAGCAGATGGAAGATCTTTCTCGTGGTCTCTCCTCTCTGTAAATCTGAGTTTCCAATATAAATAAACAAATAAATATTTTTCTTTTAAAAAAAAGAGCTTATTATCAGTCAGCAGTTTAGCACAAGGGAAGCTGCTGCCAACAATACCAGTATCCCGTTTGCACACCAGTTCAAGCCTTGGCTGCTCCACTTCTGATTGAGCTTCCTGCTAATGTGCCTGGGAAAGCAGCAGAAGAGGGCACCAGCCACCCATGTGGGAGACCCACATGGAGTTGCTGGTTCCTTGGAGAGTGAGTCAGCAGATAGGAGTGTTCTGTCTGTTTTCTTCCCTCTCAAGTTTAAAAAGCAGCAGGAGCGGGGAAAAGAAGACAGTGTCCCAGCCAGACAGCAGGCATGATGAGAGGGGCTTTCATGAGCACAAGTTGTCTCCCCAAGGGTAGGAGCCTAACTTAAGCAGGTGCCCTGCTCTCTGCTGCAAAGCCACCTGCTTCTCCAAAGAAAGCCAATAGACTAACACAAATGTCCCCTGGTAGTAGAAATGCCCCCTGGTAGTGGAAAGGATTGACTGGCTCTTGTCTTTGTGTCAGGAGTTCAGGCAGATGTCTCATGGGAGTGAGGCTGAATGGGGCAGAGCATCTGTCAGAGTGGATAGGTGCCCCTCAAGGTGCTCTGTCCTTGAGGCTGGAGAAGTCAGGGGATGTGGGCTAGTGAGGAGAACACAGCTGGCAGGCCAGGCAGGCAGCTGGGGAGAAGCTGAGAGCTGAGCGTGCAGCCTGTACTCAGACTGGGGCTTGTAAGGGAAAGGGCGCCACTCCTCCCCACCCTTTCTCCTTTCCCACCTCCCAGTTCCCAAGGACAGAGTGTCAACTAGGTAACATTCCTGTCCAGGTCTCCCTACCCCAGTGCTCTCAGGCTAAGCAGAGGAGATGTCCCTGGGGGGCCTTTCCTGGGGAATGTAGGCAATGGCCTCAGGTTGGGTAAGCCATATCTGTTGCTGAGCATAGAGGATTCCCCTAGTGGGCAAGACTCGGCCCACCTGTAAAGCTGTGGGGGCCAGAGCAGGACTGTGGACTGTGGAATGCTGCTCCAAGGTGTGCTTCTAGAGTTTTCTGTTTTGCAGAAGGTTTGTGTTGCTGTAACCCTTCACACACACATACACACGGACTGACGGACCCAGACACCTGAGTTACCGCACACTGCTTCTGAGGCTGTCTTGCTACACAAGCCACTTCAGGGTGCTCTTGTCCACACTCAGCTTCTCCTGCACCTATGTCAGTTTGAGAGCCTGGCCTCAACTCCTAGATCTACCTGCCTGAGCCAGCACGCAGCCCTTGGGTGTTCTGCTGCTTTAAGAGCACCCCCCACCCCAGCTCCTCCCCTAAGCCTGGAGGCCGGATTTCCCCCATTATGGCCCAGCCCTTTAAAGCCCCGGCTCCATCTTCCCGGCTGGTGTCCTGATTCCTGAGGCACTGTACAGGGGGGCCCTGGGAACTGACAGTGGGCAGAAGTGGACTGTGACAGGTGCACAAGGGCACAGAGCTGCCATCCAGGGCTCAGGCGGGACGAACAGCTGGGACAGACAGGGTGGATGCTGAGAGAACGCAAACTCACTGGCAGCGGCCACTTTGTGCCAGGCCTGTGCTGAGCCATTTCTGTTTCTTCTGGGAGAGAAATTGGGATTCCTGTTTTACAGATCAGGCCTAACCTGACTGCCCGGGGCCACGCAGCCAGCAAGCCGCAGAGGCAGGATCTGAATTCAGGTCGGTTCCAGAGCCTCTCCCCAGGGTCACCTGCCCAGCAGCGTCCTGGCTTTGTCCTATCAACTTTGCTTCTCCTAGGCTTTCTGGTGCGCAGCACGGGGAGAGGGGAGGGGACTTGGACAGCCCCTCCTTCCTTGCTTAGGTTTCCTTCTTTCCTCCTGTTCCCCCCCACACACCCCAGGAGCTGCTTGGAGATGCTGCTGTGGCTGCTGTGGCTGCTGTGGCTGCTGTTGCCCCTGTCCCTCCTGCTCCTGCTCCTCCTGCTGCTGCCTCCTGCCACACTGGTGCAGCGGGGCTCCCAGAAGGCCAGGCTGTCCTGGCTTGCTGACCTCCAGTACCGAGTGGC